CGACTATCCCCCTGACTACCGGCCGCGCCGCGGGGATGCGAGACCATAAACGCGAGAGCGAATTGATTTGCGTACCGGAAAGCGCGTATCGTTTCCAGTAATGATCGCGGAGACCTCATTGTCTTCGTGCGACGGCGAGATCGTCGAGTGAGCGATACGATATACGGTCGAACGGCAAAAAAACGTCGTGGTTCACGCCTCATAGATCGCGGTGTTACCATAATTACGAAACCCCTCGGATGGAAACGCGAACGCGCGCGCCATGTCGATAACGATGATGATTCGTATGTTAGTAGTTAGTTTCTTTCTGTATCCTTTATGACACGCGGAAAAGATGTCGAAAAATTAGAAATTGGATGGTAATTGCGATCTCGTGAAACTGAAAACATACATAACGTATGAGTAACGAGATTTTTTTCAAATTTATCTTATTCCTTCCTGACAGGAACAGTGTGTCGGAACAAGTGTCAAACAAAAGGAATATTTGGCCAAATTGCCATAAGAGCGCCAACTTAACTCATTGTCGTCGAGGGTTAATCGAAAACAACGACGATCATCGAATCATCGGTGCACTGGTACGGACAGGGGGACATATGTCGCGACGCAGAACCCTCCATTACGATATTGGCTCCAACTTATCGCATTAGGCGGCTTTAACGCGCGAAAATGAAGCCTGCAAACGCGGCGCCATAGAACAGACTCTGATGTTGGCAGTGGGGTGTAAACTAATAATAATGCTCTCGCAACATTGACCCTGGAATATTTCTCGATGCTGAGAAAATAGATTAGAAATATTAAAGTTTGCGTTTCTGTTCTCAACGCGCTTCATCTACCGTCGCGCCACCATGATTGTCGTTGAAATATTGTAAACTTATATATATATATATATGCGTGAAATATGAAAATATAGCACGTAATAAATCGTTACTTTTAAAATTACTAAAGCGTGAGAGACAAACTGCTCTCTCGATAGAAAGTCTCGTCGGTGAACGGTACGACATTCTTCCACGGAATCTGTCAAGTGGAATAATTTTCCGTGGCGATAGACCGCTCGAGAGAGAAGATTTACATTGGCGTTCGCGATCCGTTCTGCCAGCTTCCCTTAACGATCGTGGATCTAGCGCGCGCGTGAAGCCAGATTCACACGCAAATCGCGTTTAATGCCACGATTTCACGGCGGATCGTTCATGGCTGATACGTTAACCTTTTGAATGGCGCTCGATATTAACGCGACGCTTTCCAAACTGAGATGCCGTAGACGATATTGATGTAGTGGTTTACGTGTTTTTGCCACGCGGTATATACCTTTAATACGGTAATACCTTTCTTCTAGTGTTAGCATTATAAATTGAGATTTACTGCCGGGCTTCAAAGAATTAAGCCTCAGTCGACTGATGCATTATCGATCTTCATTTTTCCAGGTCATGGCGGAGTCAACCAACTCGGCGGCGTCTTTGTGAACGGAAGGCCGCTACCGGATGTAGTCAGGCAGAGGATCGTCGAGCTCGCGCACAGCGGCGTCCGACCGTGCGACATTTCGAGGCAACTCAGGGTATCTCACGGCTGTGTATCCAAGATACTGTCGAGGTGAGTACCGTACTTTCCCCGTATCCGTTACAACCGCAGCCTCCCGCACCGAAATATCTCGGTCCGCGCAAGATGGACGAGATCACATTCGTCAAACTGTGCGTATCTCCAAGAAAAATCAAATCTCACGCGAGGATTAAAAGTTAAATCTCATCTTACAAATCCAATTTATTTATCTCAATAGTACTCTAAGTACTCTGCGAGTAATTAACTAAAATATATCAGAAATGTCTAATTGTCTCTGAAAATCGCATTTGCCAAGTTCGGAGAGCGGATAACGAGCAAACAACGTCGCCGAAGGGTAAGTGATTTATGAGAGAATCAAGCTCGTCTTGCCAAATGCCACGCCGCAATTTCCGCGCCGCGAAGTGGCCAAGGTCGTTCGAATCGCGGATAGAAAGAGAGGAGACGGGAAAGCAAAAAATGGGAGAAGGAGAGACTACTTTTCCCGAAGCAATTTAATTAAAGACGCTGTTAGAACCGCGAAACGAATGAACTCGAGGGATGAACGGAGAGACGAACGGAGAGGCCGGAAGGAAGGAACCAGTCCCCATACTCTCGCGACGCGGGGTGCTCGACGATATGCGGTTTCCATGTTTTTTCCACCCTCCGAACCCCCGCTTCGCTATATAACGGGTGGCCTCGTGCCGCTTTGATGGTCCGAACGTCATTCGCGTCCCCCGGCCGAATATCATTGTCATATACGCGCTCTTTCACGAATCCCGCATAATAAAGACTGACTGGATTATTTACTGCCACGACTAAAGTTACCATTTCCTCTTCCTTTCTTTGGCGCGGATCCCTTTTCGAGCAAAATTTCAGTCGGAGAAACGAGATTTTGTCATTAACAATGCGAACGTCGCGTGATTTGTGTCGGTCGTCATTTGCGCGTCAAAATATGAAAAATATGATATCAAATTTCAATTGAACAATTGAAATTCTAGAGCATCGAAGGACCCAGGAATTATGTCACGAGCACCAAAGTAATAATACAACCTCGTTAATAACCCGACAGAAGCGCTGGGCTCTTCGAGTTCCAAGAGCGTGGCTAAATTTAAACATAGACAGTAGAGGACTCAACGTTCGTTTCATACATTTAGATACATAGTTCTTCCGCGTGTCGCGTGCGGATGTGACTTTATGGCCGAAAAGTACGGCGAAAATATAGGACCTGTCGACGACACCGACGCGACATCGTTAACACCGATCTACGGAGTTTACGCAGTCACGCGTCGCTGATAGAGACGAGAACACCGCGCGTCGCGGTGCCCCGTTCGTCGAATCTAAGCGAAACCGGATACTGGAATTTTTTTGACTCTAGGCGAGGGTTCGTAAAATCGTCGACGAGGACGGCGCTGAAAAGCTCGGTGCCGGTGACCCCGACGAAATCGAGTCGTCCCCCGTTTGCCCGGAAAACCTTTTCTGACTATCGCGGCGGAGAAATACAAAGTGCTCTTCTTCTTTAGGGTTACGTTCGAAGGAAGAGCGGCGAGCGAGAGAGAGAGAGAGAGAGAGAGAGAGAGAGGAGGAGGAAGAAGAAGAAAGAAAGAAGTAAGTACGTTGGTTTCGTTTCGTTACGTTTTAGTAGAACCGTACGGTAACGACCGTAACGTACAACGAACGGGTAGTACGAGTGATGTCAGTAGTACGAGTAGTAGTACGTACGTACGTAACGTAACGTACGTACGTACGTACGTACGTACGTACGTACGTAACGTAAGTACGTACGTTACGTACGTACGTACGTACGTACGTACGTACGTACGTACGTACGTACGTAGTACGTAGTAGTAGTAGTAGTAGAGTAGAGAGAGAGAGAGAGAGAGAGGAGAGGAGAGAGAGAGAGAGAGGGAGAAAGAGAAGAAAAAAAGAGAAAGATCGTTGTCTTGTTGTCCTTTATGTTACGCTCGTGGGTCCGCCTCTGTATTCTGAACACGTCGCGGATTCTAGAAACTACGTAAAACGTTATGACTCGAATCCTACAAAACGTCCTTTACTACAGCGTAAACGTGGCGACACGTTTCCTTTCGCATCGCGATGTTACGAATGTCTGATGAAGTTGCAAATCAATTAAGGATTAAGTAACTCCAATTTTTTTATAGTCTATCATTATGATTATAGGCGCGTACCTCGTAAACGCTTAACGTTAATGTGAAAATCAGCACGAGGTCTTGTGGCGTCATAACAATGGGCGTAAATAATGCCATTTTTTCACGGAAGTGGCATTTTCGATTTCGCGCAAGACTGTTTCGAATCCATTTAAACCTGAATTAATACAGCAAGGGTGAATGACACGCCGACGATGGCAAAGCAATTTGAAAAATCGCACGATCTAATGGCCATTTCACGGTGGAGGCGGAACAAAGGGGACGAAATATTAACGGGTGAGCATTGCCATGTGGGTTTGAAATAGGGTTTTACACCAGATATGATCGCAATAATTTCGTGGGGGTGGCGAGACCCAGATCTATTTAAGTCTATCCGATTGTGCTTACAGCTAATGCTTTTGGTAAGTTCACGGCCAGTATTTTACTCCGACGATCATATAGTAGAGGAACAATCGATAAATCAGCACAAATAAAAGAACAATCGATAAATCAGCACAATCTGGCAATCATAAATTACTTATAAAAAGTAAAATTTATCTGAGAAAATGATACCATTCTGTTCGCACTGTGACAACAGATATGTTACAATTTTATCTAGAATTTTTCATTTTGCTACAATAATAAAAATTCGTACAAAGGATCAAGGTGTCGCAGAAAACTATAATTCGACTCAACAATCCGAAACCTATTTTTCCCATGACATGCAACGTAAAAAACCTGTTATAACGCTTTTATTCGCGCAAATATTTTTCACCGAAAAACGTGAAGGTCTAATACTGGAGCATGTACATGTTTCACACGCACGCATACACACACACACACACACACACACACACACACACAACAACACGCACACGCACACGCACACGTACACACATGAAACGCATGGACGTAAAATTGGCCAAATATCCAACGGGTATGAATCGACGCCGATGCCAACGCCGACGCCGACGCCGACGCCGGCGGCGGACCGACATCCATCAAGGCGGCCCACAAGCGAACCATTATTGCGGGCTATCCGACGTAATTGAATTTAAGCACGAGCGAAGATATTATTTAACTAATTAGGCACAAAGGGCGCGTTCACGGCGGGCCAATCGCGATTGCCCATCTCGCGCGCGTATATACGCACCCCGCCGGTGGGAGACCCGGCAGAGGAGGAACGAACGAGAGGGACGAGGAGAGGTTCAAAGAGCAGAGAGAGGGAGGCAACAGCGGGAGGCCAGAAGCCGTTTGTTTTAAAACAGCCGGTCGTTGACGCGCCGCTGGACGGCGATTCGTTATTCCGACGTTGGCCGCCCACCGCGGGAAAAACGTTCGTTTCTCTCTTTTTCCCCTCTCTCGACCACCTATGTTTCGCGATAGGGCGAAAGAGAAAGAGGCAAACTGTGAACTTTGAACGACCGATCTCTCGTCGGCATCGTCGTGCTTTCAAGTGCAGTTTAAGGCCAATCGAAAGGTTTCCTCTTTTTCGCGCGTCGTGATTATTTCGTAAGATTAAGTTAATGTTTCGAATTTTATTTTGCAGGTATTACGAGACCGGTAGTTTTAAGGCCGGTGTCATAGGAGGTTCCAAGCCGAAGGTAGCAACGCCACCGGTCGTCGACGCGATCGCCAATTACAAGAGGGACAATCCGACGATGTTCGCGTGGGAAATCAGGGACAGATTGCTGGCCGAAGGTATTTGCTCGCAAGACAATGTGCCATCCGTCTCTTCCATCAATCGGTGAGTCAACGTGTGTCAATGTTTCGTACATATTTTCATAGTCCAACAGACAGTCCGCATTTTATACGAAGAAATGCCATTTCGTTTTCATTAATCGCCGATGGAAGACGGAAAAAGAAAATTACGTCGTTCCCGGTGTACCGCTCGAAAAATCTCGACATATGCTTCGATCGATCGTCGGTGAAAGGGGCACGATCGGCTATTCGCGCGCGTGAAAAGTGCACCCTCGCATATATACATCGAGATAAGTGCGCATCCGGCCCGTCACCCCCGATCCTATTGACCTTTCGCAGGTTCCTTCGGGACCAGGGCCGATTAATTCAAGTGTTTTTGCGTCGCCTGACGATGTGGCGGGCCAACGAAACACGAGTACCCTACGATGTAGAGCCGCTCTTACGAGAGCGAGGGGGAGTGAGTTCCCGCGGGACAGCATTACAGCGTATCAGCACCGCACAAACTGAACGACTCGGTCCCCTTTCGGCCAACTGAAAAGCTACAAGGGTACACAGCGGGAAAAGGAATGCGTGGGTAGGGGGTTCGAGGAAGGGGCAGAGAGAAGCGACCGAAAGAGACACCGGGGTACCATTGATCGGCTCGCATATGTCCCGAGATTTAATCAGTCGCTACTTAAGACCTTATCTCTCGCTCGGTTCGCAAGAGGGGCTTGGACTATCTCTCTCTCTCCCTCCCTCCCTCCCTCTCTCT